CCCTATCCCCGTTCGTCGTGGCCTTGGGCCAGTCGTCAGGCTCGGGCGTACCTCGTGGGCGATCAAGGGCACGCGCGGCTCGGACGGCTCGGCGCGCGGCCACTCGGCGTACGTGGTCAAGTTTGGTCGCGAGTCGCGAGCCGTGCCCGGCGTCAGCGACGGCGGTGGTGGCATTGGCGGTGGCGGTGGCGGTGGCGAGGGGCTTAGGAGGGGGATAGGCGGTGTGATGCTGATCGACACCGTCATTATGCCCTACCGCCCGGGCTGGTTCTACCGGTGGGGGTGGGTGGTGGTGTGCAGCGTCGTGGCCGCGTTTGCCATGAGCCTGGCCACGCTCTACGCCTACCGGTGGTGGAAGCGCGACGGCAAGATCCGCCTGCCTGATGCTCTGGAAGGTGAGTCACGGTCGTCCTGAAGAGGCAGGTCGACGAAGAGAACGAGAGAGCGGACGGTTGTGCTGAACCCCATCGCATCCGTCGCTTTGGGATACAGGCGAAGAAGAGTAAAGCGGTGTAGCGGTGTCCTTGTCCTTGCCCTTGCCGCATCCGTATCCGCGAACCCGACAACTGCTTGCCCCTTCGCTAGCCCTTCTTCTCTTCTCCCTACGACGCTATTCTCACCTCTGACGAACCTCACCTCCCACATGCTCTTCCCGGACCCGACTCGTCGCGACCCACGCTGTATCATACCCCGTCCCGCCCCTTATCCCGCCTCTTTCCAATCCTTGCACGCCACGCTTCCCCGCCCGTTAGCCGGCCCGCGTTTAAGCTGGACCTAGACACTATCCGACTCGATAAAGCCCCGCTGACACTGTGGCGATGCAGACGAGTTCGTCTATCGACGTGGTTGCGAGAAAAGACCGGATAGGCACCTTTACATGGGCAGAGATGAGGGGGAGCGAGGGGCAGCGCGAAACAGACACGACGACGACGCCGACGCCGACGCCGACGCGACCTAGCCGCGTCCGACGTAGCTGGGCATCTTTGTCGCCTGGATAATGATGTTTGCGACTGCGTTTGCCGGGGGGAAATTGCCAGCCAGGAAAAGGTAGAAGGTCAGTCAGCTACCTTTCTCCTGCCACAGTTCCCGACCGACGAGAGGGGAGGTACGACCTGGCAAAGGAGGGGAGGGGCTGGAAACCTACTATTGACGCTCAGGTCCATTTCAGCGATGGCAACGACCTGGTCGGCCACGTGGCGTCGGTCCATGGTGGGTTCGTGCGCCAGCTCTCCGTTAGCCTGGAGCACTCCGGGACCAGACTTCATCTTGAGCGTCATTTCGGATGCGGCGTTGCCGATGTCGAGCTGCGTCACGGCAATGTCGTGGGCGCGTCCGTCGAGCGAGAGGGATTTCGTCAGCCCCGTCATGGCGTGCTTGGTTGCCGTGTAGGGTTCCGTGTCTGCGCGGTCGATGGGGGAGGCGGAGGAGTGCGGAGTGAGTGAGTGAGTGGAGACGGTCCCCGCGGTGCAGCGATGAGCGGAGGGAAGGGAACCGGGGTGGACGCACGCGGTCGAGGGGTATAGGCGCTCAGGCTGCCGTTGATGATGATGCGGCCGCCGCGCGGAGACTGGGTCGACATGGCGCGGAAGGCCTCGCGGGCGCAGAGCCAGGGCGCGGTGAGGTTGACGTCGACGGTGGCCTGCCAGTCTTGGAGCTTCTGCTCCATGATGGGCACGTTGGGGGGCGAGATGCCCGCATTGGCAAACAAGAGGTCGACACGGCCGAACTTGGCCGTCGTCTGCTTGAACACGCTGTGCGGTCGTTGCGGCGGTGAGGGCGGGCAGATCGAAGACGAGGGGCAGGAGACGTTGAGTTTGGGTCGGAGGACCGGAGCAGGGCACGAGGAAGACTGGCAACTCACGAAGCGACGACGTCTTCCTTTGTAATGTCGCCGGCGACGTAGAGGCCGCCATCGGAGCGACCGGAGGCGTTGTGCATATCGACGAGGGTCGACTGGAGCTCGGTCTCCCTCCTTCCGGTGACGCAGACGTTCCAGCCAGCCTTTGCGAGCGCGATGGCCGAAGAGCGACCGATGCCCGACGAGCCGCCGGTGACGATGGCCGTCTTTCCGGGGCGCGGGAACGTGTCGATCTGAGAAGAGGACGAGGTGGCCATTGTGTCCGTTGTGCGTGCGTGCGGGAGAGGATCGAGGAGGGTGTGGGGATAGCAGTCGGGGAGGAGCGCGGAGCGACGTCGATGGGGTGCTCGGGTTTATATCGAGCCGAGGCGGAGCTGTGCACGGTGCAGGCCGCGTGTGGAGAAGCAAGATTGGGCGCTCCCCCACGCGGATCCTGTCCGCACGCGCCCGCGCAGCGCAGAATGGGGCCGCCCCCCCGCGCCCACAGCCCTCGCTCTGGCTCGACTCGACAGCTGAGCGCCCGCGGGTGCAACCACGAACCCAGCGCCTCCGGACCGACGGCACCCCAACTGCAACGCCCCGTCGCTGTGGCTCGCCTCCCCTGCCCGCGGGTCCTCATTGCGATGGTGTTCCAGATTTCTCGAAGGGATCTTCGGCCTGCCTCGATCTGCAGTAACACCACCGGCCAAATAGAGGCTTCGGCATGGTGGCCTTCGCGCCCACCGCGGCTCGTCGTCTGCCGCCAGCGGATATTATTGCGTTCCACGCATGTGCATCTTCATGGTGCTCGTCTGGCCTAGTGGTCGTCCAGCCCATCTTCCCTCGATCCGCCTGCGGGCGGGCGAGCGGAGGTGGCATCCATTGTAAGCGTTCGAGTCCCGGTCCCTTCGGTTTTGCTTGCTTTTTTTGGTCGGTGAGATGCCGTGGGGTCGTCGGTCGGGGGCGTCCCTTTAGCTACCCTGTGCATCGGCCGGAAGCGACAGCGACAACGATGACGGCGACGATGAGCTTGTCCGTAGTCGCTCATGGCCGCGCCAGGCCAGTCGAGGCCAGGCCAGGCCAGACGGGGCCGCCGATGGGTCGTGGATCGGGGCGGGGCGTTGGTCGACGAGAACCAACCTCCACTCTGGGGTGGCCTGGCGGCGCACTGACCCGCGGCGCCGTTCGCTTTTCCGCGCCGTCGTCTTTGCCTCTGTGGGCTCGAGGGGCCACGCACGCTGCACACGACAGGGCAGGCCGGCCGCCTTGCTCGCTCTGTCCCTCCCAGCTGAATCACTCTTCTTCTCTCTCCGCCCGCCACTCTCCCGCTCGCCATCACCACCACCACCACCACCGCGACCGCGACCGCCCTGGCATCCCGCACGGAACAGTGCATCGTCCCATGAAGCGTTCCAGGTCCACATCCCCCATCCCTGCCGCATCCCCACGCCCCGCATCGCCCCACACCACCACCGCCGCCGTCGCCACCACCACCACCACCACCACCACCATGGCCTGCCCGCACCTCACCGCCGCCTTTTCCACCCTCGCACCGCCCCGCCCCTCGCAGCAGGTGCACAAGGAAGAGTGCACCCTCTGCTTCGACGACCACGACACCCAAAACGGCATCGACGTATGCCTCTCGTGCTTCAACGGCGCATGCACCGGCGCCGACAACGACCGCAACCACTCCCAGCTCCACTTTCAAAAGACCCAGCACCCCATCGTCGTCAACATCAGGCGCGTCCCAAAGCCAAAGCCAGCCAACCAGCATGACGCATCGCCCCCCAAGAAGCTCGCCATCCTCGCAGAGAGCGACGCAGACAAGTTCGACTACATCACCACCCCGCGCTGCCTCGCCTGCAACGGCGACCACCTCCCCAACACCGAAAAGCTGCAGCACGTCATCGACGGCGTCATGAACGCAATGTCGTCCGCCCAGCAGTCCGAGGTCGAGGCGTGGGAAGAGGAGATTGTCCCCTGCCACCACACCAGCCACCTCGTCCAGCCGGGAGACGCCCACCAACTCGACCTCGGATCCCTCGCCAGCTGCGGCAAGTGCGACCTCACCTCCAACCTCTGGCTCTGCCTCACCTGCGGCCACCTTGGTTGCGGCCGCGCGCAGTTTGGCGGCGTCGGCGGAAACAGCCACGGCCTCGCCCACTTTGAAGAGACCGGCCACCCCGTCAGCGTCAAGCAGGGCACCATCACCGCAGAGGGCACCGCCGACATCTACTGCTACGCCTGCAACGACGCCCGCATCGACCCGCTCCTCGCACAGCACCTCGCCCACTTTGGCATCAACGTCGTCGACCTCAGCAAGACGGAAAAGAGCATGACCGAGCTCCAGCTCGAGCAGAACCTCAAGTTCGACTTTACAATGACCGGCGAGGACGGCAAGCGCCTCGAACCCCTCTTTGGGCCCGGCAACACCGGCTTGCGCAACCTCGGCAACAGCTGTTACATGGCCTCGGTGCTGCAGAGCCTGTTTGCACTGCCCAGCTTCCAGAGCCGGTACCGCGACAGCTACCGCCCGCACACGCTCGCCTGCACCGCCGCCCCCGCCGCCTGCTTCGAGTGCCAGATGG